TACCAGTAGGTTAAAAGAACAAATATGTACATTATAAATAAATATTCACATATGGTCTAGGGCTTCCCATGTTCATTATTTCTGGACAATTATGACAACCCTCTGGTAGCAACTAATGTATTTACCATTCAAAAAGCATTCAAGGACAGTATTCCCCAGAAACTGAATAGATGCTACTGACAATGACAAGTTAAAGAAAATAATGTTTAATAGTAAAAGGAGCCCAGATTATTTTCCATGTCTTGTTTTTACATTAGTTTTTAATCCTATCTACTAAAATAGCATGACCCAACTTGCAAGTTGATGCAGAATGTAAGCCTGATTCCTGGTGCATTTAAGCAGGGATGTACATCCCTTACACAGACTAGACATACAACACACATTAAAAAAATACACTTGCTTCATTTTTCTCTTATTTGCATAATGCTCTGAGACAGCATTCACACCAAAGCCCAGAAAATCATGTTACAATAAAATACCAAAAAAAGGAAAAAGACCAACAGTTTTCAGTGCAAACTGGTAACGTTGTCTAAAAGCAAACACAAAAAACTCTTAATTTACTGCTTTCTCACTTCATTATCTCATGAAACAAAACCAGCAAAAACTAATAAATATGACACATTAACCACATAAGAATAAAAAATGCTGTTCCTTTTTTTAAGTCAAAAGCAGCAAAAATATCTTGGTTTGTAGATAACTTGTAGTTGTCTAACAGTGAACTGCAGCTGAGAAATAACTACTCAGCAGCATTTGCATTGTATGCAAAGTAACCGATAGAGTTTCACTAATGAAGACTAAATTCATCCCAACTCACAAAATTTATTGTTGCATGCACTCAAGCCAGTTCTACAATTCCCAGCTGCTGCAGGCTCTGGGGAAGAAATCTGCCACAAATTGCTGGCTAATCTTACCAATGGATAGCTCATCTCGCTGCTGAAGCGATTATCTGCTGCCTCAGGGGCCTGCACAGTTTAAACTGCTGCAGAGACCAAAGTGATGGATTTTGATCTCACAGTGTAAGGAAAGATAAGTGCCTCCTGGCTGTGCCTGAGTTCTGTGGGCTCCTCTAGTGTCACATGTCCCAGACAAGTGTCATCTGAGCAACAACCACCCTGCTGAAAAATGCCTCTTCCAAAAACAGGAGGAAGGGGGACCTGAACACCAAAGATTTCCTATCTTAGAAGATCACAGCTTTCCCTGCATGCTGTTATATCCAGCATCCTACAAGCTGCAGAGAGACAAGGATCCAGTCCAGGAGAAGAGAGTCTCCACCTAGGTGTCTTCACCCAGAGCAGCTGACTCATTGCCCCACTGGCAACAGCTCTCCCACTTCCCAGCAAGTGCAGAACGCTTCCAGAGAGGAGAACAAAACTATCAGTTCAATAAGCTCCATAGGAAGCACCTTCATTTCCAGTGAAGAAAAACAGAGTGATTCCCTTGGACAGCTTCAGTTTTGGTTTTTAAAAATTGCACCTTTCCAAATGTCCCCATCCCACAGGCTGGGAGCCCACCTCCTGCAGGCAAGCTTAGCTTGTCATTCTACTGCTCACAGTCACATCAATGTGTGCCAATTACCACAGGCAACAATATAGCTCATAAAATAGGTATTTTGCTCTCGTAAGGCTGCTGTAAAGAATACCCACTTAGGAAAAAATTGATAAAATTAAGATTTTAATTTATTTTATTCTGCTTTTTAAATCCACATGAGACTACAAAGATAATCCAAACTGCAGCTGTAGTGACCCACCACAGGACATTTTTCTTCAATGCCATGAAGTTTCTGGTTTCAGGTTGGAAGGAAAAGGTTATTTTTCTCTGTTGAATAAAGACATTAATAGCATGTCATTTCTCCTTCAAATTATATGAACAGGAACGTGTTCATACCATCATCCTCTAAATATGCACTCCTGCTAAATGGACAATGTACTGTGTTTTCTTACTGGTTACAATAGGATCATGACAGAGAAACAAAGTGTGTAAAGTAGGAACGAAAACAAGTCCTAAAACAACACACAGAAGCATCAGTGCTTTCCAGATTAAAATAAATGGTAGCAGATTATGGAAATATTACATTAAACTGACTTCTTAGTCTCACCATATCAATTTAAAACAGTGGTATTTGTCGAATTGCTTCTGACATTTATAATTTAACAGCAAGTCTACACTACATTCAAAAGTATATTTAACAATTTAGGTAAATATAAAACAGAGTACAGTGCATGCATGTAACAATTATGCTCTTTAGGATTAGAGGCACCTTCTTAGGGGTGGTTTAATCTTCCCTTTTAGAATTTTGGGCATTCACCTATTCCAGCTAAATATAATCTGATTAATAAAACTCATACTCTTATGATACCTAGGTCTATTTTCCAGAAAAGAGAGAATATATTCCAAGAGAGAATAGTATAGGCAATGTATCCTTAAGTTGCACACATGGCTATACATCATGAAAGTGAAATCATTGGGTGAAAACTCAGAGTTACAACAGACACAGAGAATCATATCTTCATGTATACAGTTAACTAACTGCACGTGCACACAACTGCATTAAGATATCTGAGCATTCAGCTACATTTTTCAGGCAACTGCCATAACCACATGTCATCATCCCCCTCTGACCACAGTTTGATAAGCAATTACTTCTTTCAGCAGCAGATGATACCAGCAGAAACAGCCCTTACCTCCTGCTCCCTGCCATGTGTTCCTTCCTTTCAGGCCACCTTCTCAGCCCTTGACACAGCAGCCACACAGTCAGACAGATCAGGGTAAAAAGTTATGAATGAAAAAGAAGAAAAGGTGCTTTTGAACCCAGTGCAGGCCCCCAGTGCCGCTCCCCAAGAGCCCCAGAAATGGTTGTGCTAGTCCAGCTCAGAGGGTGGCAGGGGGCGGCTTACGCAAGCACGGTTCTCTCAGGAAACACATGCCAAATCTCTCCCTCAGGAAGCAATTGTGTTTGCACCAAAGCATCTGAAAAATCTTCCCCCCCTGTGCCCAGTCTGTTGGACCTTGGCCTGGGAATATGGATCCGGAAGGGATCCCTGGGGGTGTCCTCGTCCCCTTCCTCACAGCTGCGGACAAGAACCAGCTCAGCAAATCCGATCAGTGCCGAGCCTGTGCTGCAGCGAGGCAGCTGGCAGGTGAACGGTGCGCTGCTTGAAGCTGGAGTGAATGTGCAAGCTGGGGCAAAAAGAAAGTTCCTGAGTTTTCCCCTGTTTACATATCAGCTGAATCAATTCTGATAAAGCTTTGTAAAATCAAATTACACACTGCGCTATATTGTTTTTCATCATCACTTTCCACCTTCAGGTGAAGGCGAAAGTTAATGATTGAATTTTAAAGGCATTAATGTGGAAACCCCTTAGGGAAGCCCAGAGAAACCTTCCATTAATATACAGCTTCTGTTACACTGCTGCAAAAAGTGGAAAAGTAAACATTAAATACAAAGCAACTGAAAAAAATAAAAAACAAGAACAAATTATGAGCTACGTAGCACTAAAAACAAAACTACAAAAAGACTGTAACAGCTAATGATTTGAGGTGAGCAATAACATGGCCCTAAATCAGGCATAATAGAATCACTCTGAGGAAAATGCAATCCTGTTTCACTTCATTGAGTTTCATATTATCGTCCAATTTCCCAGCACTAACAGAAACGTTTCCTCATTGCCATTGTAGGAGTGGACTTAAAACAACAAACAAATTCAGCTGTCCCAAACAGCTTGTTAACTTAATGAAATCATTTCAGTCAGAATGCTATCACAAAAACCCAAATTCATCCCAAATACTTAATTAATAACTTACCTGTGGAGATATTAAACAGAACAGGTCAATACATGAGTGGCAAACTATGGGAAAGTTCAAAATAAGGATAATACTCACTGTTATCTTTTAGCTTCTTTTTTTCATTGAATAGACTCCCTGAATTTAGTCATCCTGTATGAACACACCATTTCCTACAAGACACGTACCACTTAGCCAGAGTCTATTACTGTACACCTGATTGTCCCACAAGAGACTAAGAATTCTCTTGGAAATACACTGTGTTAATGTCCCAGAAGAAACAACCAGGCTGTTCAGGATAGGGATAGCTGTGATTTAGCTGCTCCCACAGCTAACAGGCTCTGCGGAAGGCCAGAGGGCAGCCCGGCAGCCCGCCGTGGAGCAGCCTGTGCCTCGGGTTTTGGAGCCCTTTGGGGAGCCGCTCACACACACACACAGACACACAAGCACAAACACACACACACACACAAACACTTACACACAAACACACACACAGACACAAACACAAACACACACGCAGAGCCGTGCGCGGCACCCATCCCGGTGACAGCCGCGCGTCCGCACGCTCGGGGCCGGCGGCAAGGCGCAGCCCTGCCTCTCGCACCTGCCTCGAACAGGTACATTCCTTCTGCTTATTCCACAGAAATAGATACCTGAGCTTCCTCATGCCATCTAGCAACTTGAAACGCTGTTTAGCCTTAAACGCTGTTTACCTGACCAGAATCTTACCTAACCAACACCATATATATATATATATATATATATATATATATATATATATACACACACGTATCAACAGCTCCGTCATTAAATACTGGCATTTACATTCATTTTTATTGATTTTTCAATCTCTCCGCAGTTGTAAGGCTCCACGACACTGGCAGGGCACGAAAGCGACTCGGCTGCAGCCGCACCGCCGGGAGCCGCGCAGCCCGCCCCGCTCCGCGCCCCGGCCGCGCTGCCCGCGGGCCACCCCTGTGTCCCCGCTGTGTCCCCGCTGTGTCCCCCCGGGGCCGCTGCCGGGCCCCGCAGCCCCACACGCACGGCAGGCTGCGGCCCGGGAGGAGCCCCGTGCGCGCTGCCCCGGGGCGGTGGCTCCGCGGGCGCGGGGCCGCTGCGCCGCCCCCAGCGCGGCCGTGAGCGCGGCCCCCGCGCAGCCGGCAGGGAAGGGCTCGGTTCGGCTCAGCCCTCTCCCCGCCCGAGTTTGCCCGGTCGCCCACCTGGCCCACTGGGTGCCCCTCCCCGCAGCGGGGCTCGGCCGAGCGCTGCCCCTCGCCCGGCTCCGTCAAGCTGTCATCGCAGGCAGCCGGAGTCCCTCCTTCGTGCTACCTTCACCAACACGGAACAGTGCGTCTCAGCAGTGCCGCGGGAGCTTTCATCGCATTAAGAGGGATTTTTTTTTTTTTCTTCCCATCGAGGCGAAGTCAGTACTGCGATTTGTGGATCAGTGCTCTCAGGCTTTTTGTAAGTTATTCTAAGCCGTTCCAAAGTCAGGAAACATTCAAGAGTGGAAATAACACCAGAACTTGTGCATAAGGATGGTCCTCTGTCACACACACCAGCCCTTCCTGCCCATTAGGAATCATGCTGCTGTTTGGTAGTTTTTAAATTTTCAAAACCCCAGAGCAGGGGAAGGACTCACACAGATTTGGACCCTAGACTCTTGGAACAAGCTTCAAATTCCAGCAGCCTTCTGTTTATCCAAGAAAGATAAACTAAGTGGCCTGCTGAAAACTGCATGTGTTTTTGGGCAAGATCTGGAAAGCAACAGGTCTTTGCTCAGAAAGGACATTAAACATCCTGTGACACTTTCCATGAGAACAAAGATAAAATGGGATCTTTTCTTACCCTTCTTGTTGCCAGACAAGAGCTGCTTGGTCCTTGTCTTTCCCCTGGACCTTGCCTTTCAGTGCTGCTATGAAGAGCAAGGGCAAAGCTGCCAGGAGTGCGCAAGCAGAGCCCTGGGAGGGTGGCAGGGAGCTGTTTGCTCTGCTGGTCTTCAGGATAAGTTCAAGCATACATGATTTGGGTAAGCATGGCAGCTTCAGGGCAGATTATTAATTGGAAAAGACTTCCATTTCTAAGTGACTCTAGAGCCACTCTGTGCCATACAGCAGCACAAGAGAGCCAGGAGAGACCGATCTTTCCCCTCCTTCTGCACACTGTGGCACGAAGCTGCACACCACCTATGCACATCTTCACCAGCACAGCCCCTCCTGTGGCATGTGGCCCACAGCAGTCCAAGAGAAAAGGGGCTAGGTTTTCCCCACCATGCATGTGCATGATAAAAACTTGTCCTTAAACAAAAAAGTGCAGCTCTCTTACTTTCTTGTTGATTTTTTGATTTTCCTCCCTTGCCACCCTCACCAAAAAAAAAAAAAAAAAAAGATGGCTCTTTATGGGTCTTCAATATTTTGGAAAGATTTTTAATCTTACCTGTATTAAACTGTGCTTCATGTTGGAAGACTTCCTTTGCCAAAATACCCTGGTATCATAATTGCAGCAGAGTTTATTTGAACTGCTTAACACTGCAAGACAAAATTCTGAACAGGAAGGTCTGGGCATAAGCTGCTGGTCGAGAGCTTGGGGATCTCAGCAAACTTCCTCTGCAAGTCTGGTTGGCAGCACCTCTATGACAACTCCCCATCAGCAGTGGGAACAACAGTGGTTATCTGTATTGGCTACTGACATTTTGACATCTGGCTCAACAACAGATAATGCTTCTCTGTGGTGTGGAAAGGATATTGTCAGAGCACTACAACACACTGTGCATTGTACATGCCAGGGAAACTCACACAGGCAGAAAAACCACTCACACTCTGCTGACCTGCCCTCGGCGCTACAACAACAACTTTAAAACACTTCTGTGCTAATTAATTTTTATATAAATTCATTTAAGCACTGAAGTGTCAGAAGCTAGATATCACCAAATCAAAATGCATGACTTCATTTGGTTCTTGGATCAAGACTCTGACACTAATAGAAATACCAGGGTTTGGGTTACACGCATGTTTACACATTCACAACAGGCTTCCTTTTGTCACTAATTTTTCTCATGCAAGTTTCAACTGCTGACACCACATAAATTAGCAGGCAACACAAAAGAAGTCACAAAAAATGGCCCTAATCCTTCCAAAATTACAAGACTATGAATGTAGCTTTCTCTAGAACTGCAATCGAGATAGGAAAGGAGCACATGCCCTCACCTGGACTGCCTGACCAGGCAAAGAAAACACAACTGGGCAAGGGCTTGTTTTGGTTTGGTTCCTGTGCAAACAAGAGTAATTACTTACACTCTTTCACACTTTGCAAACCACAAAAATAAAGTATAATACTATAGAATTCAACAGGTATAATAAAAGTTTTTGAGGTTTGGAGAATGGTTAGGTGTCATGGAACAGTGGATGAATGTCCTTCCTACACAATGAATGTTCTTAATTTGCACCTTTATATACAAATACCTGTTGGAAACTGAAAACCTCACTGCCTCCTTCCACTGCCCTCCTCTCTCATCTCCCTGGGAGCCAATCAGCCCTGCACTTGCAGCCAGGGACATGCTGCAACAGTGTGCTCAGAGGAACATTTCCAGATCTGTTCACTATTCACTCACATTTGGATCTACAACCTTTGGCATTCTATAGACAAAGGAACCCAGCTTCCCTGGCATCTCTAAAAAATTAATCCAAAGACTGGGGAAACTACAAGTCCCTATGGTTCCTTCAGCCCCCTCTCTGTGTCTATAGTCCAAATTTTGCCAACTCCAAGGCAAGAAGGTAAAGTACCCACCATTTGAGAGCTGAGGCTCCTTTCTGGAGGTGAAGCCAAGCTCTGTTTCTTACTGACACACAAGATTTTAGCAAGGGATCAAAAGACTCTGATGCATTCCTAAAATTATGTGGCTGTGTAAGTCACATATGTAGCCTGGGCTAGAAAAAAGAGGCTATGTAATGTTCTCCTCACTTTTCATGGACACTGGCAATTCCTGGAACACAAGACCATCCCTCGGCATCAGACCAAAAGTTGCATTTGGAACCAGGCAGTTTCTAATGACACTAACTTAGATGAGGGTAGTCTTGCTACCTACAGAGTGCATCATCTTCAGAATATTGGGAAATTTTGGCAGAAGCATCCTCTCTTTCTCGATATGAAATAAGCATAGGCAGATCAATACTGAATATTGGTTGAACAAGAGGATGATTCATCTCCTTTTACTGGTTACAAACTTCCACATTTCAAATCTTCTGCCTTGCTACTCTTTATCCACATGTCACGAAGTCCTCGCTCCAAGCACACACTGTAAGATTTCTGGACACATTTATATGCACGTATTTTACAAAGATCTGCATTCCAGCTAGCAAGTGCAATAATTTTTCACTGGAAAACACAGATTCATCACTAAAAATGTCCTATGGAAACATAATTTAACAAAATTTGGCTGTAGAAATGCAGAAGCTTTTAAAAAACCCTTCTATGTCAAATGACTTGCTTTTGGCAGCCTGCTAGGTTTCCTTGCTAGCAGGCTTTATTTTGGTGGAGAAAGTGAAATGAAATGTAGACATTTTGAAATTTCCCATCAGAAGAAAAACTTAATTAGACATTGGAATTTTTCACAGCATGGGAGTAATAAATTTGAATTAGTCTTACTTGGAAGCAAGCCTTTGCACAGCTATTCCAGTTTTTCTTCCATATTTACCAGAAGCTTGGGCTACTTCAACCCATGCAGGAATCTGACACCAAATATAGGCTGTAATGTCTCCAGTCTGAGGAGACCTAACCATTTCCTTCGTTCTACAGCTTTTCAGAGCATTATGTTTTTGTTCTTCTGGGTGACAAGTATGGCTTGCTGTGCTCTCAGAAGAAATGGTGTTGGCAGCTTGTCCTGCTCATCATCAACACCCTTGCCTGTAGCAGCTCTCAGGGAAATGCACAAGCTAAAGAAGGGTGAATTGGGGAGCAAGGCCAGAAGGCAGTGCAGGTGGTCTTGACCCTGTTCACCAAATCAGCACACAAAACCAAGTAAAAGAAGAGGATACACCACCACCAATTCTTCACACCTCCACAACACAGCAAACGAGTCCTTTGGCAAGAATTTTCTGCACCTCTGACAAAACTCTGGCTGGTGTTTGCTGCTGCTGGGGCTTTCAGAGAGAGTTTCTCATACACCCAGCCTGGGGTATACTGTGCCTCTGGACACGTTTTTGCTCAGTTCACCTGTAAAATACACAGCTTAACACCTAGGACTATTTTCAATTTAGTCTTTACTACCTATTTGTTGTATTTGTTGTGTTCACAGGCTGGGGGAGAAGTGTCTTAAGCTTTAATGCATTACTTTAAATAAAATATTCCCATTGATAGTATCTACAGCAAATATTTACAGAGTTAACAAACACAAACTATTGTCATTCCACACAGAAAGTTACAAGCATCAAAGATTTCTGTTTTATTTGGAGATGTACCAGATTAGTTCCAGGGGCACTTATGCAACACAGAATCCTAGAGATAATTTTTTTCCACCTGTACTTGGTACAACAATTTTTTCCTCCATTCATTTGCTTTTTTCTTTGTGAGTTATGCATGTACAGACTAAAGAAACTAAAAGAACTAAAACTAAAAGAAACTATCTGCTCTGAGTAGATATTTTGGTAAATATTGCACCATTGATTATCCATGGCCTTGCATTTCAGTATCAGCCACTGAAATCCATCCCAGCCCCAGGGCTCTGCTCCCCCTCCCACAGGGCAGCAGCATTCCACACCACCTCCCTGCTCTCCAGCCAGGGCTGCTGACTTTGGAACTGCTGACACAAACTTCATCGACACATTTCTGATACAAGCCTGAATCATATTTTAGTACAGTGTTTTCTTGTTTGTGTTTTACAAAAGTTCTCTGCTGTTCTGCCTTTGTGTGCATGTGTGTGTCCCAAATTTCCCTTTTCTGAGTTTCCAGTCATACACCACTGCTTTCTAGCACAGCAGGGGAAGTGGAATGGTCAGGGACTGAAAGGGAACTGACTCTAAATTACCTTCTCTCCTCCAGTGGGTCTGTAAGGCAGTAGGCTAGAAAAGGAAGAGCCAGTTCTTACACTTTTGTGAATAAAGATATTTTAATTGCATAACAATCTCCACACACAGGACAAACTTCTACAGTGTCTCACGCCCATAGGCAATGGACTCCAGAGCAGCATCAGGAACAGTTCTTCTGCTCCCAGCCTGATCAAGGGCCTTATAGTGCCAGAGTTGGTGTCTTAGAACTTTATAGTAACCTACATAAAATGAAACTTTAAGCAAATTCCCATAATGCTGGGAACCAGATGTTTACAACAACCTCACAAAGGCACTTTTATAATTGCCT